TCTCAGGAAAAAAGCAACAAAAATGTTCTTCGCTCTAGTTCTGAATAAATAATAACATTCTGCACAATCCTTATTACTCAAACTATATGAGAAGAGCATATTCGTCAAAATCAGTCCTTTAACTTTTTGCTACTATTGTAGGTACTAAACATCCTTAAATAACATTAGAGCGAGATAGTAAATTAACACAGTGGATAATGTATTGACATAGACAGTGTACTTTTTTTTTTTAATATATGCGTATTGTTGATATTTTATCGTTTGCTGTAATTCGAATTGCTTGTCGCAGGAACTTGTACTTCCGTACGGCGTTTCTTCTCATGCACGGGATATCTCCAGTATTTGTGTTGGAGGGAAAGGCACCCGTCCTAAAGCATAAAACTATTGCACGAAGGAACGACGTTCGTAACGGATTTCAGGAGAGAAAGACTGCTAAGAGAGGAGGGAGAACACAGTTTAATCGAGTTCTAAATGAGTGTAAGGAACTGTTAAGATGCATGGGTGCTGCTTGTGTACAGAGCCAAGGTGAAGCGGAGGCTATGTGCGCCTATTTAGATGAGGACGGAGTATGTTTGTCTTTGATTTTCTCTGGTGAATTATCGATTGCCTTGGATGAAGGAAAAATGTACCATCAGCAATGTACTTTTCAGCTTGTGGACGGATGTATAAGTCAAGACAGCGACTGTTTCCTATACGGTGCGAAAGTGGTGTACAGAAACTTTTGTATGAGTACCCAAGGAAATTGTGGCGCTACAGGTGGCTCTGTGGACATCTATAATATGGAAAAAATAGGGAGAACGTTGAATATAGGACGAAGTAAAATGATAGCGTTAGCTTTGCTGTGTGGCTGCGATTACGATGAGGGAGTGAACGGCGTCGGAAAGGAGGCTGCTTTGAAGTTTTTCAAGACTGTGAAGGAGGAAGAGGTCTTACAAAGGTTTGAGCGCATTGTATGCTCATCAAATTTATCAAATTTTTTAGCTGCAAGCTAAACTGTATCTCTTTTCTCTTTTTCCTCAGAATTCAAGATTGGAGAACTGACACAAGTTTGAACAGACTTGAATTTGAGCTGTCAAATCCAGGTTTATGTACGTCGTGTGGCCACCCAGGAAGATTGCAAAAGCACACAAAATCAGGTTGTACCGATTGCGGAACTGACAGGAAGTGTAATGATGATTTTAGGTAAAAATTATAATATTAATTACTATAACATGTATTTTTTTTAGAAGTAATAATTTACTATTTTTTATATGTATAGGGAAAAGAGAGCATTGATATTAAATGAAATATCGTTAAGAAAGAAGGCGCTCCAAGACGAAAATTTTCCAAATCAGGAGTTAATAGATGAATTTCTTATCAGGAAGGATTCGGTTCCAACTAAATTAGATGTAACATGGAAACAACCTCAAATCAGTCAATTTATTGTAAGTTTATTACATATGTCGTAATATTAAAATTATAATTTCTTTGTCAGTCTCTTTCTAAATCTACTATCTTTTCTTATCAGGACTTTATGCATAAACACGTATGCTGGGAACCACAATATGCCTTCGAAAAAATATTTACATTGATCACTAGATGGCAGCTTACACATTTATCAGATTTTACATTAGATGAACGTTTGTCCATGACAGATTTATTTATTCCTGACAGTATAAAAAAGATTCGTAATATTAGATCTGTAGCCAGTTATGAAATTATATGGAACAAGGAGCATGCTGTAATAGAAATGTTAAAAGAATATAAAGAGCAAACAAATGAGAGTGCTGATGATGGTGATGACGTAGATGATAGTTTACTAACAAGTATCGAGCCACAAGACTTGGTTTTAAAATGCTATCCAAAATTGGTTGAAGTATATGAAAATACTAGAAACGTAAAAACGAAAAAAAGAACAGCGAATTCTCGAAGAAAACAAGCTACAACGAATACAGAAGACAATGCTACTGAAACAATGGATACTGTAAAAACAAAGCAAAAGAGAGTAAAAAAGAAAACTGACAAAAATAATAGAAAGATCGATGAATTTGTATCTGCAAATGTAATATCGTTAGAAGACTCTTTTGAGAAAATGACAGTTACACCAAAAAGATCAAAACAGAATATTTCGAATAAAGCAAATGCGTTAAAAATAAGAGACGTGCTTGAAGATGTTGCGATCACGAACGTAAAACGTGGGCCACAATTTCAAAGAGTTCTGGAAATAGAGAAGGTAAATTCAAAGTTGAATAACACATTTGACAGAATGTTCAATGAACTTTCTCCTGATGATTTTATAAGCGAAATTGAAGATAATGATTCAGATATAACAAGTGTAATAGAAAATATATGTAGCAAGCAAATCTTTCAATTGAGTACAAAAAACTGTCAAGATGTAGAATCTACTAGCCAATCTGCGGAAAACATAGAGGAATGTACAAAAAATGATGAATTTGAATCTGTAACATACACTAAGGAAAAGTATATTTATGCGAAAGATGAAAAAGAAAAATCGGATATATCTGATGATGAATTTAGTAATATAAATGAATATATCCCTATTCATCAAAGAATACAATTTGGAGGAAATCATAGGGTATTATCCACGTGCAATCACATAACAAAAAAATTGAACTTTGATTTTGAAAACATTATGGACCAAACCGATAATGAAAGTATACATTTAGACACGTAGTGGATATCGAGTAAGAACATCATTTTGGAAATATGCATAAACAATAATTTTATGTTATGATATTATTAGTTCTTTAAGGAATGTAATCTTTATACTGTTTTATTTTTTTAAATTATATAACTAATTTTAACACTAACTAATTTTAAAACTATATCTTTCCAAAAAAATATCCGTTAATTAAAAAGAAGAATTATATAAATGAAATAATCTTTCCGAAATTTTTATTTTCATGTATTTCTTTATGATTTGTAACAAAGAAAAAATACATAATATATTTTTTTATATTTATATCTCTAATATGTGCATGCTGTGTATGAGTAATTATTATAAAACTATATCTGTGGAAAATTTATTGTAGAAGTAATATTAAAGTCACATACGGAATTCTTGACAGAACTGTTTCACGTTTGAACACGTTTGAACTGTCGTACTACTGATGGCAAATATCTCATTAGACATAGTCTGTATTTTCAATAATTTGTTTGATCAAATTAGATGTTTTATTAATAAAAATTTTTTCTTATGTAATATGTTTATTTTTATGTCTCGGACCACTTTTCCTTCTCGTATAGTATTTAAGAGGGAACACCACTGTGACGGCCGAAAAAAAGATTATTCTCGTGAATTTTTTGCGATAATTAATAAGTTGTATGAATTAGTAAAGTTTTTTTGCGATTAATAAGTTGTATGAAATATTATCTTTATATATTAAAAGTACATATATTTAAGATTTTATTAAAAAAAAAAATCATAAACTAATGTTAATATTTGTGGCCTCCGTCTTCGATGACGTAAACCTCTATTGGAAAAATGGATACGCAAGCGCCCGTGATGCGTCTGAACGGGATGTCTAAAATCAAAAATTCTTTTTTTATTTTAAAGTATGTAAATGTAGTTTCAGTTAAGCGTACGGATTTTTTGAAAAAATAATTTTTAACAAAATGGCACCTGTCTCTTATACACATCTCTGAGCG